TTTGTTGGTACCCGGGGATATTTCCGACGCCATTCCCGACGCTTTCTCGGCACCCCGGGCCCCTTCTTCCCCTCGCTCTCACCCCCCCCCCCCGGATCGGCGGCACTGGCCCGACAGTACAAGCTGCGCGGCCGCCGAGGCGCCCACGAGGCGCCCACGGGTGGGCACCCGGCGAAACCTCGGCCGACCCCCCGAGAGCACGAGGCGCCCGCGGGCGGGCACCGTGCAGAGCCTGCTCGCGGCGGAGCCGCCCAGGTTCCTCTGGTGGCCGAGAGAAGACCCCCTAAAAGCCCTGAGTGCAAGGGCTGCGTGGGGGAATTGAGGAAGCTCCAGGCAACACACGGCAGGTTCGTGTCGTGCCGACACCGGCGCTAGTTTTTGACACCGCAGGGATCGTTCAACCTTGAACGATCGGCCATTTCCGCAACGTCCAATCGTTCAACATCGATCGATTCTGGGTCGCCGGCGGCGTTCAACCTAGAACGCCCGCGCTGGGGTCGCCGCTGGTCGACACGACGCAAACCTACCGTACCACCACCTGCCCCGGCCAGGCCCATCCTGAACTGGTGTGTGGGCCCTCCTGGCCTAGGCCTGGAGGTCTACACACCAGTCCAGGGCCAGGGATGGTCTCGGCCAGGGCTGGTGGGTTGCATTGCTGGCGTCCCTCCGGAGAAGCATTGCGCTTGGTAGTCATACGTGTGGCCGTCCGGGCCGCGCGGGATGCGAGCGGAACGTCTCCACGACTCCCGGCGCGGGCTCGCCCGTCGGTGCGCTTGGGCCCGGGCAGACGCTCCAGGAAGGGGTGAAGAAGTCCTGCATCTGACACTGCATCATTGTTGTACCGCCAGCAATGTTTCCCACACGCACACACACAAGCAATCATCGCGGCCATGTGTGCTGTGGACGGATTGCGGATCTGGTCCGTAATTCAAAAACCTGTTGCACCGCCAAGGAATACTCCGCATCCACTGCCGCGGGCTCGTGCCGTCGATCACCCCCTGTCTGCCACTCCTCACATCCCACCCGCCAGCCAGCCTGGCTCCACCAGCAGCCACAACGCGGCACCGTCGTCCCGACGATACATCGTTGTCGAACGGCACGCGCGGCAACGCGGCCCACCCCTCCGCAGTCAGCACCGCCACCACTTCCGCAAACAGCCCCGCTCCATATGCACACATCCCGCCCAGACCACACATCGCACCCGCGCGACACGCGCGGCACAGCAGCCAGCCCCGCCCCCCCCACCGACACAGCCCGGATCCTGCTACCCCAGCAGCCAACGCGCGCTTTCCCCCCGGGCCCGCTGTCTGGGATTCCCCCCGGGCCCGCTGTTATCACTGACAGTACTGCTCTTCCTCGTCTTGTCACGCTGGCGTGCCCCCCCCCGCACAGACCCTCCACTGTGGCACTGCACGCATGCCAACCTGCCAGCCGCACCGAACCCCCTCCCGCAGAGAGCCCGCGCCTCTTACCGTTCAGCAGCCAACACGGCCCCGGACCCCCCGCCCCGACCGCTTCCTTGCAGCAGCGGCACGCGCGGCATCGAATACTGCAGCCCACCGCAGCCCCGCGCCGCCCCAGGTAGCCTCCCGCCCGTCTGCCAGGGAGACAGTCTATACCGCTATTCCAATGAGTTCAGTCTGACCAGGGTTTCGAAGCGAACCTGGCCGTGGCGTTCCTTGAAATCCGACATTGGGAAGATGCAGCCTCGCGCGAAATCACGACTGGATACATGGACCGTGGACCCAACGTTGTTTGCGGCATCTTCCGAACCAGGTGGATATCTGGGACCCGAAAGCGAAGACGAACGCCTGGCGGGATAAAAGAGCCCGGTCTGACAAAAATTGCACAGGGACGATTGAGAGGCACCTGCATCGGCCCCCGTCCTCCGCTGACCCGCCCCGAGCAACCAGCGCGGCCCCTCCGCATAGATCGGCGCTGCCGCACGGCGCGCGCGGCGCCGCGGCCCAGCCTGGAACCGGAACGAGAGCTCTGCGGAACTGGCCGCGAAAACACGCACCCAGCGCGGAGAAAGTGTCCACGGGGCCCTCTCTTGGGACCGGACCATCTGAACCCATATCGGGCGCGCGGGCAAGCCCATGTTGGGTTGAACTCCGCCGCAGGCAACGCCCGCTCCCCACCCCCACGCCGCCGGCACTGTCTGGCCCGCGAGGGCACTCCGACTCGGCAGCCCTGCGTGGTCCTGCGCGGCGCGCCCCGTTTGTCGGCGATCGCGCGGCGCGGTGGGAGGATGAGCGGGACGTAAGGAGGCAGGTCGAAACGTTTGTGTTCGTCGGCGGTCGTGAGGGGTCAGACGGCGGTGAAGCGGCGGCGGGACGAGACGGAGCGGAGCTAAGCACCGAAGGAGGGCCAGCGGAGCGGGGACGCGGGAGGGAGGCACACTCAGACCGTGAAGACCGTCGCGTGCGTGCCGAGGGGCAAGTCCGAGCATTGCGTGGCGCAGAGAAGGCGAGCTTCTACACACAACTGGTCGCAGAGCGGGCTAAGAGGGCGGCCGCCGGCGGGGGGGAAGGGGGAGGCGGGCGGCGCGCTCACGCCTGAGGCGCAAGCTTGCGCGGCACGCGCGCCGCTTCGGCCCCACCCCATGGCAGCCAGCCCCTGGGGTGGGGGTGCGGGGGGGAGGCAGAAGGTACCCTTACCTCGGGCGCACGGCGACATGGATTGCGGATGCGTAGAACTGGTGCGTGGGCTCCAGATCCACGGATGGGGAAGACATGGCGCCAGTGCCGCACGACTTGGCGACGCAGCGCGCCGCATTCGCATGCAAACTGGGCCCGTCGTGAGTCCACGCGCCATAACCCATGCTTTCGATTCATCGAATGCCACTGCTCCTGAGAGCTCTCCCAGGGTGCATTCTGGCCAGAATCTCCAGGAGAATACGGCCTTGGCGACGAGGACTGTCCAAGACGAGCAGCGGATTCAATAACTGTTTCTCCTCCTGAGCCACGCTCCATCCGCGCGCGAAACTTCTCCCCCCGCAACCAGCGCGACCCATCCGCACCGACCGCGCATCGTCGCATTGCGCGCGCGGCAACGCAAATCCACACCGCTGCAGCCAGCCCGTCTCCCAAGCCGCGTGCCAATCCCGCACCTCCTCCACCAGCGGTCAGCGCGCCGCCTCTGCCCAGACCAGCATTCGCCGCCGTGGCGCGAGGCACGAAGTGGAGTACCCTCATGCCCCATGCGGGCTCTTTGCACTTCGCATTCTCATGAAGCTCTCCACACTACAGAGCGTGGCCAGGCACGCAGTCAAACTCTGAGCGCGCACGGTGAGCCGCAGGAGATGGAGCAGGAGGATGAGGAGGAGGAGGAGCAAGAGGAGGAGGAGGATGAAGAGGAGGATGAAGAGGAGGA